CTCGCCACTTTCTCCATTAGTTCGCCACAAACAAAGTGCAACACATGCGATTCTCTTCATCAGACCCAACGAAAGAAATTTTTTTCAAGCACAAAATCTGCAAGGAACGATAACGAGGAAGAGTGCAATAATCAATATTTAGCGATTTTCTTATCATTAATTCCAATTCCAGAGCCTGTTAAACTAAGCATGCACTTTAGCAGAATTATTTTTAACTTTTCTCAAAAAATAATTAATTTTAATACTTAAATACCGTACTTGCTTAATATGACCTCCTTGACTGGGTTTGCTTGCGTCTTCCAAAAACTTATACCCATTTCTTTGGGCTTTTTGTTAGGCTTGATGTAAAAACCTTGTATAAATATAATCAAGGGCCAGCTCAAAGTCCACTATATATATGATCACATATGCGCAAACGTCAGTTTACATAAAACAAAATTCGTATGATAACGTATGATAAATTCGCCATAAGACAATTACAATTTTTTTTTTTTTTTTTTTTTTTTTTGTTTTTATTCAATGCTTACTATGCTTACTATTCAATAAAAAATTCAATGCATACGAAGTATACTATATTCGCGTTATCGATTTCTCTTTTTTAAAACTATCTTTGCTTACTTGTTTCTATCAAACAATATTATTGCGCTGGCGGAATGTCAAAGGGTGCAGTGTTTGCATGCAAATATATATTGTGTTCGAATAAATATTGAATAAAAACCAAACAATACAACGTATGTATACAAATGTGTATGTAAAATATCGTATATTAGCAGGATTTGATAAAAAAAAAAAAAAAATTAAAAAAAAATTCCTCTTTATTTTCTAATTTACTTGTCTTTCTGCAGACAGACAGAGTGTGTGTTCGTCTTAGGGAAGGACAAAAGATCGATCAAAGCTATTGTAGTTAATATATTGTATACTCAATGTTTTAATTCAATTCATTAATTGATTATTGGGTGCGCCAAATGGCAAATACGAGCTTTTCCCATTTTTTAATTATCATTCATAAAGAATGTTCTTCAAATCAAAGCAAAGCAAGTAAACACACTGCAGTGGGCCATTGTCACAGCACTTTGCTTAATACCGTTATTCTTATAACGACTTTTTAAAATGAAGCGTTATATGAAAGATTGTCGAAAAAGTGATCCGATCTGAATCATTTTCAATATTGTTCATCGTTAGACTGAAACACGTCGGTATACTAAATTTCCTCAAGATATCGCAAAAATTGCGACCTGCAGACTGAGCACAAGAATAAAAGACGTACGGACATTTAGACCGAAAAACTGCGAGAAAAACGCTTAGAACCATTTTCTGAATCGATTTGCGTAGTAAAAAGTGGACCTATCTCAAGGCCTTCTGGATATTGCATACATTCGCACAAACTTAATATACTCTTGTACTAGAAGTGATGTAGGATATGACAAGTATATGTTTTGCTGTAAAAATCTAAGATATCCGCCATCCGCCTTGTCGCGCAATGAATCTTAAGATATTTCCAATGAAGATATATTGCGTGCCGGACAATATTCGTTACTGCAACTGATACGAGGAGGGGTCATTTGAAAGCGAATTTCTCGATTTTGTAAACCATTATGCATTTCGGTCTGAAATACAAATTCTTAAGCTCACTCTCTTCGCCATATTTTTATTTTGATCTAAAGTCTAAATTGTAAAAGTTAGCTATGAAACACAACATCAAATGCCTAAGAGTTCACCTCTGCTCTTCTTTCGAAAGGTCAAACTTTTGATGAAATTCTTCATAACAGTCGTTGTATTTCGCAAGTAGCATCTCGCATATATTGTTTGTGTGCATGAAATGATGCAGGGTCATCAGCCTAAATTTTGCCCTAACGCAGCATACCTACATAGAGGAGATGGAGGAGGTATAACATCAGCCGATCTCGGTGGCTACATGAAGTCTCCACTTCGGGAACTCAGATGTCCAGGATAAGCGTCACGCCATACAACCATTAGTTTCTAATCTGTTTATTAACGGCATGTAGTGCCATCCTGTCAAAAGTAAACCCCGTTTGTATTTAAAGCAAGTTAGTCACGTGGTTCGCTAAAGCAAACTTTGGAACTGCGCAACCAGGCACATTTTTGAAAAGGTCTGACCTCCCGTCAGGCCAAAAATCGCACTAAACTTTCTTTTACTTTGTTTGAAGAAGTTTTTCGACTCTTTCCCTTGGGCTTTTCAATTCCCAGATGATAAAGATTTGTGGTTATTTCCTACTTAGGCGGATCAAAATGAACCCCATTGCTCGGAATAAATTTATGTCGGGAATCAAAAACTTGTTCACGTATTTCTAGCACCTAATCAGACAATGTAACCGGGTTGTGCTTGATCTGTTGGTTTCAATTAATACGTTAATTGTATGTTGTAAGCACTCTGGTTAAGGTCTTTATCTAAAATGTGATGGAATGGGTATCTTACGATATACTCAGTTTAAGGGATTGTTTCGAAAAATATATAGTTCGGTGTGTGGTTATGCTTAACTACTGTGCAAGAAGTCATTTCATAATGACGAAAAGTTGTAGGAACTTTCTAGCATGTCTCTGCGATATTTCAAACATTTTATGAAATCTCACAGTTTGCACTTGTAAAATGTCGACGAAAATTATTCTTGTCCAAAATGATACTTCATACTACTTGTATTACAATTAAAAATTATTTCGATCCTCGAAATACATTCGATAAAGACTTTGATTTGATACGTTTACATCTTGCGGAGGATAAATATGAGAAATCAAAATTCGTATTTATTAAAACGTTGGCTAAGTGAAGTCATAAACTCTGCGGTCGAGGTATCATGTCTTCTTTTCCCATTTTGAATTTTTATTTCTTACGAAGATTTTTAAAATTCTTTTACTTCCAATGATTAAATCTTTTCACAAACTTCATTTTCATGCTAAGTGCATGTAACCTAGAATTTCAAGTTAAAAGGGAGATCTATTAATATATAGTATCATATAATATGATAAATAAACGATATTTTTCTATCCATCCCCAAAGGATGAGGGATAAGTTCTTATTGTCAAGACGGTTGAAAAGCCACGAAGGAAATTTCATAGGCCCCGCAAAGTATATATATTTTTGATTATCATCATTAAATTCTGAATCGATTTAAGAATGCTCAGTCAGTCTGTCCGTCTGTGAAATGTCTCTTATAAATATTCTTTTGAGCGCAAAAATGAAGCTATCGACCTTAAATTTGACAGAAGCTTTTGAAGCCCTAGCATGCAGGTTGATATTGAAAATGCTTCAAATCGATGGAAGGACACGCCTTTGTAGTAACACGTAAACTGAGAACACCTCTGTTTTTCAATAGGAATAAAAAATTGGTTTTTTGCTCATTACTCATAAGCTATGACAGATGAAGGTATCAAAATTTGAGCGCATATTCTCTCGGTGATGCTCTAGTCCATGAAGTAAAAATGGAAAAAAAATTGACCAAACCTGCCCAATATTATCGTGTCTCAGAATTTACTCTTTTTTTTTTTTTGTAATATCTACACAACGCCCAGAAACAATGTTCATAAAGCGCACAAATTCTTAGCCTAGCAACGCACCTAACCATGTCCGTCTGCCTACCTGCGCAAGTAACTGCTTTAAACATTGTTCCATTAGCGAGAGTGAAGATATCGCCCACAACGCCTACGCGCCTATTCGACAACAACTTTGGCCGGGAAAAAATTACCAAGATATAAATTTTAATATTTCATCAGAAAAGTAAATGAAGAATTTTATTGAAAGAAGTGGTATATGGTATTTAATTGTCGGTCTTGCCAGACTGTAAACTTTCATCTGTTCCGTCAAAGTGAAATGGTTCTAATGCGATATTTTACGTTCCATAGCACGTTGCTATAAATCTTGTTGTAAATATTTCAGGAATAATGTCATAGTGGATCTATTTATATTTCTTGTTCTTCATTTTTAGTGTCGAATATAAAATATTAATTGTAGAACATAGAGTTTGGCTCCAAATATATCAAAAGAATCAGAATTCTTGAAACCATCTGTAAATTAAATTTTAAATCGATGTCGGCAAATAGGATGCTTAGCTCAAGTCCATTTAAATTTAAAATCAAGCTTTCGATTAGAGGATAGCTGAAATGTTCTTATCGTATTAGAGTGAAATCGTGAGGCAGCATACCGTCTTATAAGAGAGTTACCTGTGTAAAGAAAATTGCTTTGTTATCTACTTTTAGTTGCACAATAAATGCATGGATACTTGAATTATATGGGAAATTTTTATTCATTTATTTCTTTAGCATATTTTTAGTCGTTGTCTTCTTCATTAAAAATTTTAAAATCTCTATTAACAAATGCACAGACAATCTCTGCAAAAAACAAAATATCTGCTTAATAATGCCGGCAAAAATTGCGATTCTTTCAGTTCTGTTAGTATTTTCCATGCTACTGGCAGCCTTGTTAGATATCGTAAATCACAAATTCATATCGTAAATGTTTGTGAGCATATATCTGTATCCCCAAAAGTGGGGAATATTTTCTTTTTTTTCTTACTTTTAACAAAGTTGTTAGTGTAAAGACATATTTCTCTATTTCTTTCACACCAACTTTTCAATTCACATGTTTTGTTATTGGTGACGGGATGGTCGAAAATTTAGTTGTCAGTCAGTTGTCATTTTCCTTTTTACCTTTGATTACACCACATCCAGTAGATAGGTCTTGCTGGCATTGTTGTTATTGTAAAATTTTGTTTTAATCATGTTTAAAAAAAGAGAATAACAGATAGAAAGAGAGAGAGAGAAAGAGAGAATCGAAACTTTTTACAATTTGCTTACAGAATATAAATCGCATTCTTCACATTTTTTTTAGTTCGCTTTTCAATTTGAAGGCGCTTAACGCCTTTTATTTTTCCGTGTCAATTTCATATTTCTTTCTCTTCATAATTCCTGTGCAAGCAAAAAAAAAAAAAAAAAAAAAAAAAAGAAGATAAAATCGGAAGCGAGAATATTCTTTTATATATTTCCTTCATATAAGTCACAAAAAATATTTCAAAATAACGAATTGATTGAAAAGAAAACTTCATTCATAAAATTTGATTTTCTATCAAGAGTAAAGACAATAAAACATAACCATCTCACAAATAAAACGAGAAACACGGCTAAAAAATAAGAAAATTAAAAAAAAGAAAAGAATGGTCGAATGAAGAGAAAACAGTGTTGAAGGTTTTCTCATGGAGCGATGGCGCTACGTGTGTAGCAATAACTAATTAATGTGTTCTTTTCAAAGTTTAGTGATCCTTTGCATGCATGTGCATATTTATTTATGTGTGTGTGTGTGTGTGTGCGTGTAATTTTGTGCAATATATATAAAAACATCTCAACCTCAATATGTAAATATATAATTCAAAATATAGAAAAATCTATCTCAACATAAATATGTAAATATATATATACAAACAAATGACCTTTTTCCACGTTACCTTCTTTAATTTAAAAAAAAAAAACAAAAAAAAAAAAAATAATTAGAACGTCGTCAACAGTTTTTGTTTTTTTTTATTTTCGTTTTCCATTCAAGTGGCGGCCTACTTAATATTACTGCTGTTTTTGTGATTAATACGTACAATAATTACATGTATTCGTACATATATATATATAAGATAAATAACACAAACACACACAGTCCAAAAGTTCCACCAAAAAAAAAAAAATAATGAAAATAAGTATTTACAAGAAAGAAAAGAAATTTCATCTATAAAAATAACCAAAAATATGTATTTTTTTACATATGGACATACGCGAGCTTGTAAATGCACCATCTATCTATCGGTATCTTAAACTATATTATTCTTTTTTTCTTTTGGCCGCATTAATAATTCATTAAAAAGCGGTAGTAGCAGTGGCATTAACGGCAACGGCAACTATAACAACAAATACAACTAAACAAATGTCAACTGAAATACTTGTAAGAATAAAATTTATTTTTGTTTACGTTTTTTTTTTCTCCTCATTTTTTTTTTTTTTTTTTTTTTTTTTATAAATTTCTATATTTTTATTTTTAGAATTTCCTTTCTTTTATTTGTCTATTGGTTGCCGATGTCTTCAGTTTTTGTTTGTTTTCCTCTTTCGTTGGTGTTTTATTGTTTTTGTAATTATTACAATTTTCTCCACATGTTTTTGTTTGCATTTTATAGGTTTTTTCTCTGCTTGAGTTGCACTAGCAGATGTTGCACATTTAATTCTATATACCAGAGCTGCCAAACTATTTCATTTCAAGTCATATCCTTTATGGGATTCCCTTATCTAATTTCAATTCACTTTATTCGTTGTCTGTAGTACTGCCTTCCCCGGCAAACTTTGTCCGTGTCTCTGCATAAATATATTTCTATACTTTTTCAAGTTCAAGTAGATAGATTGATGCCTTTATCTATAGGGATTTTTTGAAAAACAATCTAAACCAATGCTGAAAATTTCGAAGCATCTTTTCTTTTGTTTAAAATGAGCACAGTCCGCAAGAATAACAAATTTCCTGGGCAAAATGCTCAGAAAAGAGTATTCAAATAACGAATTGGTGTTGAATTGACAGAACTACAAGCTGATTAGAACTCTTGGTCAGCTACTTATGTTAGTTTTCATTTTTCGTCTTTCGACTATTGTTAGAAATAAAAATTATTATTATTATTATTATTGTCCATATATATTGTATGCAAGTGAACAAAGTATAGACCTTTAAAGACTGCTGGATAACTTGGATCGGATACTAGTCGGATACTTATATATTTTCAATATATTTTTATAATATTTTATAATATAAGTGTATTGAGAATATTTTGAGAAAAAAAATTCTCTTCAATTTCTACAATTTCAGTGTAAGCTGACCTAAGCAATGGGCAATAATTTTGCTGAAAGCTTGTCGTAATAATTCTGAAGACTGTTGTCTTTAACATAGGGGTATTTAAAAGCAATATCTTAAGGCTAAGTTTAAGCGAATTAGGTTTGGATGAGTTAAGGGACTGTTTGCAGCATTAAGTTGCTTAGCGTGAGAAATATTTGGCGAAAATTCGAAGCGACGAAGTCTGCTTATTAAATAGACTGTGGTACTCTGTTCTTATCGTACTCTGCACGTATCCATATATTCGAGCATCATCGCTAGATAACGAAGCAATCAAACAAATAATTCCCCATGAATATCAAAGATTTTCATATATCGTGCACTATTTTTTCCTCATATATATATGCGGAAATCTTTCACAATAGGCTCACGGATGCTTCCTTAAAGTACACATATATTTGTTTAAGTGGAAGGCTTTTCATTACTTAAGAATATATGAAGCGTTAAATTCGCTCAATTCGATTGTTAACTATTTGGAGATTTCATTAACTTATTTCGTTGATCTAAAAATATTGTTAAGAAGGTTTTCATAGCAATCTAATCACTTTAAATTGACAGCTATGCTATTAGGTTTCTTTAAGCTTTAAAATTGGCAACTGTTTTAAAAGAACATTAGCCATATGTGTCTTCTATTTCAGTGTTTGGTGTTTTCCAAAAACCTTGAAAAATTTAGTTTGCTTTTCTTCCTTTTCCTTGGAATAGAGAATATACCCCATTAAAATTTCAAAAACTTATAGCAACTCTATAAATTTTGCGTATAAATACAAACACTCTCGCAAACATATGTCTCTTTTAATTACACAGATACTTAGCTGATATTATTGTTTATAGTTCTTGTGCTGCGAAGTGTTGAATGATGAGATGCTAGCTTGTGTGTTTATGATAACCATCTGTACATACACAAAAAGACGTATATGAGAAACCGTGATAGATAACAGACAGATTTGTAGAGTTTACAAATCATAGGGCATCATCTACTCCAATATATTAGTTTGGGGAAAAAGAAATCCATTATTTTTTCGGTAGATGGCTGCACTGATAGATTTCTCGTAAAGTATCGATCAAACAATTTCCGATACTGTACATTTACATACTGTACATTTCGCAGTAAAAAAAATTCTTTTGCTGTTTTTTGTTTGGTGCATTCAGTTGTGAGTTACAGCGTGTTAAAAATGGAAGTGAACAAAGAGAAAATTCGGTACATTTTACAGTTTTTCTTTGACAAAGGCGAAAAAGCAAGCCAGGCGGCTAAAATTGTGAATGGCGTTTATGGTTCCGATACTGTAACAGCCAATTATGTGCAATTTTGGTTTCGTAGATTCCGTTCAGGAATTTTTGATGTTAAAGATGCACCTCGCACAGGTAGGCCGGTCGTCGAAAATGTCGATAAAATCGGAGAAATGATCGAAGTTGACCGGCATGTTACCAGTCGTAACTTCGCCCAGGAGCTAAAAATCGACCATAAAACAGTTTTAAACCATTTACACAAAGCTGGATTCAAAAAGAAGCTCGATCTTTGGGTGCCACACCAATTAACAGAAAAAAACATGATGGATCGAATTTCCATCTGCGAAGCCTTGGCCAAACGGAATGAGATAGACCCATTTCTTAAACGGATGGTGACTGGAGATGAGAAATGGATCACATACGATAACCCTGTGCGAAAACGATCGTGGTCAAAGAGCGGTGAAGCACCTCAAACGGCCAGGAAGGTTTTGCTATGCATTTGGTGGGACTGGAAGGCGATTATTTATTATGAGTTGCTTCCATATGGCCAAACGCTAAATTCTGATCTCTACTGTCAACAACTGGACCGTTTGAAGATAGCGATTGACCAGAAACGGCCAGAATTGGCCAACAGGAGAGGTGTCGTGTTCCACCAGGACAACGCTAGGCCACACACATCTACAGTGACTCGTCAGAAACTTCGGGAGCTTGGTTGGGAAGTTTTAATGCATCCGCCATACAGTCCGGACTTAACACCAAGCGATCATCATCTTTTTCTTGCATTGCAAAATTTCTTTAATGATAAAAAATTGGAATCTAGGGAGGATTGTGGAAATCGACTACTAGAGTTTTTTGCAAATAGAGACCAGGACTTCTATCAGAGAGGCATTTTGAAGTTACCTTTAAAATGGCAACAAATCATACAACAAAACGGTGCATATTTGACCCAAATCGGACAATCCGAAGCATGTTAAATAAAGTCCTGAAGTTCATATAAAAATAATGGATTTCTTTTTCCCCAAATTAATATATCAATAAAAGAATTCTCTTTTAAATTAATACGAAAAAAAATAAAATAAAATATATATATATATATATATATATATATATACATAGAGAGAATAAAATAAAATGAGAGTTAATAACCAATGGATGAATCAACTAAAGGCTGATAATAATGAATGAATGAATGAACGAGTAATGGAGGCGAAAAAATTGATTTATTAAATGAAAGGGCAGATAATCTTTTAAGGTAATTCTATACCAAAAATTCTTAGTTTTAATATTAAATTAGCGGTTAACCGGCTTTTAACTGCAACACCACATACTTAGTGCACTAACCGCACATAAATTTTATATACGCATATGAACGCAAGAATTAACATGAGTAATAATATTTTTGGCAAAAATATTTGAAAAGTTGTTACAAGGTGACCAGATAATTGATTGATTCATCAAACAATTGATTGATTATTTATATATATATATATAAGGGTAAGACTTAAGTAGTATGATCGAGTCTTTTGATATCCACTAGCAGCCAGTAAGAGTTTCTTCAAGTCCACCCAATGTAAAGAGGTTGCATCAGGTTTATAATAAGCAAAATACTTGGGTTCTGATAGTTATGGTCGAGTAGATCGAATGCACGTATTCTTGATGGAACTGTAAGAAGGGTCTCTGTAACGTTTTTAGTTATATTCAAAGCGAAATAAATACGAGTTCTTACCACTCGGAACGTTTTTAACTTTGTTTCACTGTCGTAAAAAATACTGATTTCACTAATTTCAAAATACACATAAATGAAAGCATGTTGAAAAACATTCTGGAAAAAAAAAAAACAGAAATTTATTAAATAAATTTTCTATAAATATTTATTGTTGTTCTCTTTTATACCCATTAATTATATTGTTAAAATATTTTCAACACTCTGAAGTAAGTTTTATGGCCTCCTAATGTATATATATTCCTGCTCAGTATCAAATTCTAAACCGATTTAAGCATGTCTGTCCGTCCATCCGCATCTCTATCTGCCTGTCTGTTGGTGTAATATTTGTGGTAAATATTTTCTTGTAAACAATTTATCTGCTTCAAGTTTGAGAGAAACATTGGATGTTCTTGCGTACAGGTTGGCATTGAAATTGAATTCAGAGTCGATCAAAGGATACGCCTACAAAACCACAAGACAACTTGACATCACCTCTGCTTTCAAAAACATAAAAAAGCAGTAAAAGTTTCGTTTATACGTAATGGCTGGTACTTCAACATCTGTACAAAAATGGAAAAAACAGGCCATGCCTACTTAGTATTATAGGATATTAAAATTTCATTCTTTTGTCAAAATGTTTGCCGTAACCAGAAAAACGCTTCAGAGATTCTATGAAGACTACATGTTATCGATGAATATATAATGCTAACACGTTCGTCAGTACGTCTGTCCTTCTGCTTTTTAGTTGCCGTGGTAAATGTGTACATGATCGCAAAAATGGAGTTATCTGCTTCGGGCCCACGATATAAATTTTCTTTGCTTACAAAAATAGGAAAAGTAAACTGAGCCAATTAAACGCTCAGTTTT